TCCCCAGCCATTTTCCAGATGAAAATTTGGTAGTGCAGAAGGCTAGGTTATTTTTTCTGGTTTTTTTGTTTTGTTTTGTTTTAACCTGTTAAAACACAATCTGTTTTGCCTTTAATGCCTTCAATTGATTTTCCTTCCGTGAATTTTTCAACCACTTTTTAAAATCATGTGGGCCCTTAAATTCAGAGCACCTCAGGGCAGAGAACTGTAGAGTGTAACCACAAGAACTGTCTTCCTTGCAATTTTTCAAAACGCTTAACTTACTTGTTGCATTCATATTTACATCTTTGCCTTTCATGGAAGGAAACTGTGAATAACCATAAGTAACACAAAGCAAACAATTTTATTTATTTTACTAAAGCCTGCAAGGATCTGTTTTATATTTCTCCTCAGTCATTCCCCTCCCAGCCCAAAGTCTCCTCTTCCAGCCTGAAACCATTCCTAGCACAGAGCTACATCATAACCTGGCTTCCCCTCACCCCCTTTCATCATGTCTGTTATGAGACGGGGGACCAGAGCTTCACTAGGAATTCAAAATTTATCTATACCACGGAATTGTTCTGAATTAGGGTAGAGGAAACGTTGAGTCATGGCCTGAACCACTGATTGATGACCTGAGGAAAGGACTGAGTCAGCACTGGGAGCACAGGTGAAGGTTATTCACCTGTGTGACCAGAAGGGGTGGAGCCTGTCTGCACTCCTCTTAGACCCCATTTAAGGGCTGACTGGCACTGGGGAAGGATCTCTTTCTGGAGATCTCTTCTCTGTGAAGTCTTTCCTGTGATCCTAGGTCTTCAGATGCAGGTGAACATTTGTTCTCTGTTTATTTTTTTTTTCCCATTTTCACCATGATAATCTTTCCAGCTGTAATACCAACTGTAATAAGTAGTAATGATGATCCTAAACAGTTCAGCTTCATTTCATTCTGCTATTCTTGAATGGAAGCAGCCAGGTGAGAGACTCTTGTTTTCTGTGTAAGTTAAGATCTTTCTGTGTATTCATTGAATCGTAGACTCACAGAGTGGCTTGGATTAGAAAGGGCCTCAAGGATCATCAAGTTCTAACCCTCCTGCTGCAGGCAGGGCTACCAGCATCTATATTTAATATTAGATGCACCAAAAGGTGTGTAGAGAACCTGCAGGAAAAAAAAAAAACCTATCTATGTATCAAACTTTCACTATGCTGACATCTCTGTGTCAGTTTCTTCATGCTGCACTTATTCTAGGAATAGCAGGATCTGCTGCTCATACGGAACACCTACAGAGATCTAGGAACCAACTTCTATTGGAAATACAGCCCTTATGAATGATATGAGAAGAAGCATTTCTCTACCTATGTAAGTTTTTACTGAGTCAGCGGTGAGGTTTCAGCCAAAATAGAAGTGTTGAGAATAAAGACAACAATCCCAAATAAAGCCTAGAGATGGGCATGTTTTTCTTCCACAAATAGTAGTACTGTGTATTTAAAAGCAGACAACATAGGACAGGGAGATTATCTGATTACTTGCTTTCAGTTTGGACACTTATATAAGACAATTAGGATACTTAGGATCTGCATTTTTCCAACTGTGCAGTAAAACTTACTGTAAGCATCATGGGAAGGTATTGGATCCCATTTTTATTTAACCACAGAGAAGTATATCCAGGCAATATGGAGTGGGCAGAAAGGATGTTATCTCCTGCTCTGTGCTTGAAGGTAGGAACTGCTGTGCACTTCCTTATGGCAATTGTATAGACAAAGTGTTGTGTTGTTGTGATGGCTTCATCACCATTACCCTGTGTACTCTGTCATTACTAACATTTACGGAGACAAAGAGTCCAGACTTCTATAGAAGCATACAATCAAGAAGGTTGGAAAGGACCACTGAGATTATCTAGTCCAACCATCAAGTCATCAATGCCATGCCTACTCACAATATCATGAAGGTTGGAAAAGATCACTGAGAGCAGCTAGCTCAACCATCTGTCACCAGTGTGCCCAGTAAGCCAAAGCCATGTCAGGGGCAATGCTATGAAACTTTGGGAGTAACAGACCAATAAAATACAGTAGGACCACCTACTATTTATGCTGCTTTACTGCGTGTAATCCCAGTTCTTTCAGGATCTATCAATAAATTTATCTGGAAAACTACAACATGTTGCGTTTCTCAGCTCTGATTAGCTCTGTACTTTTGTTCCTTGTGTTTCAACCGATCATGTTGGTTCGTTAGTGCATATGACTGCAATCGATATTCATGATGGGTTTCAAATGAGACATATCCTTCAGCATAGATCTTTCACATCTTGTTTTTTATTGCACTCAACTCATCACTTTTATGCAAGTCCACATCATGTCCCTGGGCTCAAGACTGGAGGCCGTGGAGATAGGGAGTACATCTTTCCGTATCTCAGGATGTGATGTTTAAGATGTGGTTGATTTTTTTTTTTTTTTTTTTTTTTTTTTTAAGGGGCAGAGACAACTAGAAAGAATGTAGCTGTTTCCCTTCAGATTGCCCTCCCCCAAATCCAGAATACAGACCTTACAGTTAAGTACACAGATTTATATATATATATATATAAATACACATACTATGTGTAAGTATATATACACATATACTTTGTGTGCTGTACATGTGTGTATGCATATACAAGTGTGTATGCATAAGCTTACATGTTATATGTATACAATATTTTTGTATATGTACTGTGTATATAGATGTATGCATGCATTTATGTGTATATCTACATCTATAGGTTGGAAATCCTCTTTTAAAGGGGAGGAACTTGCAGCTCAGAGACCAGCTAGGAATGCTACACAGGGCTGGGACTGGGCACTCCCACACGCGGCTGTCGGACAGGGGAAAACCCTCGGCCACCAATGTTACCCTCCTCCAGTGAAAAGGCGAGGAGAGGAAGGAAAGCCTTTTTTTTTTGGGGGGGGGGGGGGGGAGGGGAGGCTTCTGTTTGTAATCGGGAGTGGATGTAGGTGCGAAGTGTGTCAGACCATCTAAAGCAAATTCACCTGGTGGCAAGACGAACAGGTGTAGCTCCTTTAGGTGAAACAGACGGACGTGGTTGAGTTTTGCCCGCAGCATGCGGCCAGTGGTGCGTTAGTCCTACCGTCACGCGAACAGACAGCACCGGGTGATTATCTTCAGTAGACCACCGCGGTTTGCTTTTGTTTCTCCCTTTCCCAGCTTTCCCCAGGCTTTTGTCAACAGGACGCGTGGAGCGATCGCTGCCTCCAAGCGCAGATACAGGAAGCGAACAAAGGGAAATCCTATTACCCCGATGTAGGAGACGCCTGGCATCTCCGGCTGCTCCAAGCCAGCTCCCCGACAGGGACATTAAATAATAGATCGGAATCGATTGCCGGGATGGACTGGGAAGAGAAAGCGGGCGCATCTCCCGCAAGCAGCCTGTTCCTTCCCCCATTTGTGCTGTAATCCAATTCCACCATGTGCAGACAGATAAGGAGACGCAACTCGTCTCCAGGCCTGGGCGGGGTTCTTGCCGTTTAATCTTTTCTTTTCGCGTCCCTTTGCCGTTCTCCTCCCTCCCCCCGTTCCGTCTCCCAGGCCCGGTGAGGTCAGCTCATGAATATTGCTTCATTTTCCTCAGAGGCTCTAGCAGCTCCGGGTACCCCGGGTGCGGTGCCCGCCTCTCCGTGCACGCGTTTCAACAGCCGGGCAGCGGACAGAGCGACGGTGAGTAATGCGGCTGCTGGAGGCTCGAGCCTCTCTTTCTTTCTTCTTTTTGGAGAGGAAAAAAAAAATATATATATATATGGAGAAAGGGAGGGGGGATCTTACTCAATGTTCTGGTCCAACAAAACCGCCGGGTAGAAGTGGGGAGCTGAGAAAAGCCTCCCTCGCCCCTAGAATCGGGACAAAAGCCGGGCGGGGTCCGGAGTCCCGCGGAGTAGCGGGCAGAGGGATGCCCTGCGCCGCATCCCGACGCTGCGGGTGGAGCCTTTTGTTGCTGCCTTTGGTCGAGCATTTTTCTTGTTCACAATGGAAAAACCTATGGAGATGCAGTGTCGTACCGCCACGTGGATTTCTCATGGAGGGGCTTTTATTTGAGACATGGGATTTGGGCTTGGGCTCAAATGGGGCCTTCATTATGCTGTTAACAAAGAAAAAAAAAAAAAAAAAAAGAAAAAAGAAAAAAAACAAAACAACAGAAAAACTCCAAGCCACAGCCAAACAAACTGTAGGCAGTAGCCAACCCTGAAACTGGAGGCATGAAGATGGTAAGTTAGAGTCAGAGTGCTCAGGAGAATATGGGATCTAAGCCAAGTCCTGTTCTGACTTCTTTCAGCTTCCGTAGAGGTTTCTGGTTTTCAAGAGCGATATTTGGTACCTTACAACTCTGAACAGCAGCAATTATGATGAATAATAGAGGAACGAAGCAAACCTTTTGTATAGCATTGTGCATGCGTGACTGTTGGTCGGTTTACACTCCCATTCTGCCTCTTTACTATTTAATGCCTGGGAGGATTCGCCAATTTTTATCTTTTAAAAGATATTTTATTTTATTATTATTATTATTTGAAAGAGAGAGTTAGTTTTAAGCATATTGGTTAAAATGAGAGGTATGATGACAGTGCACTTGGCAGAAATCGGAGCCACTGCCCTGGAGCATGGAATAGAGTTGGTGCCTGGTGCTTTTCAGAGGGCAAAGCAATTGTCAGGGTGCAGCATAAGGTCTACTCTGACTTTGCCTGGTTTGATTTCTTTATTCCCTACCCTGCAGTGGTCCAGGTGGGATCATTAGGCTGTGTTAGGAATGCTGTCACTTCTACTTTGGCCTGTGTTCTTCCTTTAAGGGCAGTTGAACAAAGACTATGTAAAAACAGTTGATGTATCATAGCTAATATTTTTGGAGTGCATTAAGGAATGCAGCCTATTTTGATCATCTGTTGTGGTCATGAAAACTCTGGTTCAGTCGGTCTGTGGCAAAACTGCCATCCTTGCACACTCAAGTGAATGCTGTGTAATGACTGCTGTTGGGCTGGGGTGTATTCCTCACTGCTTGAGCTTTAAAAATATGCTGGAGTGATTATGCCTCACTCCTGTTTCAGTATAACCAGTATCAAACTCAGATGGGCTTAAAAGTAGGTTCAGGAACTCTTTTCTTCCAGAACTCTTAGTTGGTGTGCTTGGGAGGCCTGGCCTTGCCCTGGCAGAACTCCTGCTAAGGCCAAAGAACAGTGAGCTGCCACTATCACCTGCAGCTGTTTGTGAAGCAGCCTGGCCCACTGACAGGTGCCTGAAGGCAGGCAGAGGGATGTAGCAGCAATCTGAGCTGGTACTACAATAGGCAGTGAAGAAGAGCATGAGGAAATGCGGGGTGTGTGGATTCAAATACAGCTGTGGTATGGCAGCACGTATAGGAATAGGTTTGGCTCAGAGGAGGAAAACAGCAATCGGTGAAAGAGGAGAGGGAACAGTTCTCAGTCTCAGCCCTTTGGAGCCCCTCGGACCCAAGTTGTGGCTTTCGGCCTCGGTCATCGCTGCGCCCGCGGGGCCGACTGGCAGCACGCCGGGCGAGGCGGGCTGGTTGCTGGGCAGCTTCTGCTCGCCTCCACCGCGTCCCCACTCGCCCGATCGTCTTCTCCGCTTCTCTTCCCCAGCCGGCAGCGCCAAAGACGACTAGAAGGATGGCCACCTTCCGCCGATAGCCGTCGCCATGAGCCAACCGCCCGCAGGGGGCGCCGCCGCCGAGCCTCGCCTCCATCCCGAGGGCAGCAGCGGCAGGAAGCAGCAGCGAGCCTCCTCCCCGGCCAGAGCCCGCGACGCCGCCGCGCGGCCGCCGCCCGCCGCGGCCGCCGCCGCCGCCGCCTCCCGCGCCCCGCCCGCCGCCGCCTCCGCCCTGAAGACCGGGACCGCGCGGCCGCCGCCGGGCCAGTCCACCAGGGCCGCGCGCGGTCGCGCCGCCGAGAAACAGCCGCGGAGTGCGGCCTCGCCGGGAGCTGTCCATCCCGGCGCCGGTGCTGAAGCGCCGCTCGCTGCCGGCGGGAGGGCCGCGGCCGAAGAGCCCGCCGAGGAGGCGCCCCCTGCGGGAAGCGGCGGGGGGGAGCGCGAGGGGGCGGTGGCGCCGCCGCCCAGGCAGTGGCGGGGGAAAGCGGGGCGGGCTCCGCCGAAGGGCGCGGGGGAGGCGGCCCCCGCGCCTCCATCTTCCGCGGTCGCGGGGAAGGGCCGCGGGGCGGCGGGCGGCGGCGGGTACTGGAAGGAGGGATGCCTGCAGAGTGAGCTCATCCAGTTCCACCTCAGGAAGGGGCTGGCGGCGGCCGCTCAGATGCAAACCAAGGGCAACAACCACAGCGCCGGTGCTGCCGCCGCCGCCGCCGCCTCCGCGGCCGCCGCCTCGGCCGAGCCTCCCTCGGCAGCCCCCGCCTCCTCGCCCTCTGCCATGGCGGCGGCCGGGGCCGAGGGGCTGCGGCAGGGCGAGGCGGGCTGCAGAAACGGCACACCCGAGGGTTCACTGAGCCCGCAGCCGCAGGACGAGATGCAAGAGGAAATGGAGAAGCTGCGGGAGGAGAACGAGAGCCTCAAGGTGAGGGGACGCGGTGGGGAGCCGGAGATGGGGCTGGGGGAGCCGGGAGGGGTTCCCTGCTGCCCGAGAGGCTTTTGGGGTGGAGGGAAAATGGCCTCGGCGCGGCGTGCGCGGGCAGCACCGCTTCCTTCTCTTGTTGCGGTGTTTTTAATAAGCTAGGCGGATCCCCGTGGGGAGAAGGGCCGTCTCCGAGCTCCCTCTGGGTGCCTTCCCCTACCCTTGGCTGACCTCTGTTTCTGACCCACCTGTTGGTGTCCCCACCCCTTCTCGGCCTGGTGTCAGAACGAGATAGATGAGCTGAGGACTGAGATGGATGAGATGAGGGACAGCTTCTTCGAGGAGGATGCTTGTCAGCTTCAAGAAATGCGCCACGAGCTGGAGAGAGCCAACAAGAACTGCCGGATCCTCCAGTACCGGCTGCGCAAGGCCGAGCGCAAGAGGCTCCGCTACGCACAGACTGGTGAGATCGACGGTGAGCTGCTGCGCAGCATGGAGCAGGACCTCAAGGTACGGGCATGAGCGGCCTTGGTGAGACAGAGCACTGGAGGTAGAGGCACATGTTGCTCTTCAGGCCTCGTGACTCTCATGTTATCATCCATTCTGTCGTACACTGTGCCGCACGTAGGGTTGCAGCTTAACTAGTAATGGGAGATCTCCAGCAAGCAGCTCTGTGGTGAGGCCTCACAGGCAGACTGTTTGCAGCTTTAGTCCAGTTGTGTTTTGTGAAGTTACTGCGCAGAAAGTGACTTAAATCCCAGTTGGAGTCCGGAGGTTTGGGTCTTTTATGTTGAACACAGGCCATATTCTCCCACTGCAAAATTAAACCAACCTCACTGATGAACAGCCCCACTGACTTTTACGAGATCAGTGTTCTCTTTGCTGAAGATCATAAAGGGCTGTTAAACTGAATGCTTGCAGTTGCAAACTCAAAATCCTGATTCTGCTGGCGTCAGTGGACTTTCAGCAAAGCCAGGATTTTCCACATCCATGTGAAACAGTAGACACAGCCCATCAAATTTCCATGTCTAATCACCTGTATTTAGTCCATGACATTTGAATGAACCACAACCTATTGCTGAGAAATTTCAGCATTTGTTTAAATGCTAATGTTAGTAAATAATATAATCTCTGTTCTAGATTGCTCCAATTAGAGGGACTTCTGCTAGTTGGAAGCTGTTTAATTTTTGCTTCCACGCTCTAGATTTTTTAAGGCTGTTCCCAAGTCAACACTTAAGAACATTTGTCAATTGAAGGATCTCCCAGCCATTTCTCAAGGAACTGCAAATCTCTGTGTATCAAACTGAAACTCACTGACCATCCTCCTCCCAAGTACTAGTTAGCCATTTTGGATTCTGTGGACTGCAGCTGGAAATGCTAATTTAATACATGACACGAATAGACAATTGCTAAACTTCTGATGAGTGTGATGGATTGAGAGTCTGTTGTTCCCAGCCCCGTTATTCAGACTTAGATCATCTTTTCTGAAAAATTTCCTGCTTATCATTCTTATTAAAACATAGACACCAGACCAAGACACATTCCAGTAATTTTCTTACTAATGCCATTTAAAATGATAATTTCCTTTTTGGTGTTTATTGATATTCCTTTTTTGTGCGTATCCAAAAGCTACATTTGCTGTTTTGGCCACAACAATTCTGTATCTAGCTGTCACGTGGCTCTGTACAAACTGGTGTCTTCCTGGTCAGGAACAAAACTGGTGGAAATGTTTTGGTTTTTTTGTTTGTTTGTTTGCTTTTTATGCCTCTTTCTCCGGGGTCAAGTGAGAATTCTGATCAAAGCAAAAGACATTTTGCACAGCCAAAATTGTGTTTAGGGGAATGGCTGAGACACTTTGGTAGGCAGAATATGAATCTTCCCTTACAGATTGGATGGGTGATCCCAGCTTCCTGTGTTGGCTAAAGAAACAAAGAGTTGGCTCAATACTACTTTGTATACATGGGGAAAGCAGCGGCTGGGAGGGAAATTGACCCTGTATTTCGGTGCTTACCTGCCGTTGCAGGAGATCCAAAGGCCACAGTTTAATCTGAACAAAGGGCTCTTTTCAATTAGGACTTCTGCCATGTCTTTCCTAATGATTACACAACTGACTGCTTAGAAAAGAATGATATTTTCACTAAGCTTTCCCTCAGGTCGTGGTTGTACTCTACTTTGGGTAGGGATGGCTGTCAAATGCCGTATATCTGCCAAACTGAAATCCTGGTTCTGGGTACCCATGCTTGTAACTCATGCAGCATTCTTTGTAGTCTTCCCGGGTTTGCTTCTGAAGAATTTCTATCTAAAATAACATTCTCCATTTTACAAGTATATTACATTAGGGGACTTAGTTCTTCAGAGGTATAGTCTTTCATATAGCTGTATTAAAATGCATCTTGCGTAAGTGAATTCAAATTTCCAGGTGATCTAGAATGTCTGTATTATCTACCTGCTTTAACTGCCACTCCGCCAAATTTTGTGGCATGAAATCACTTTTAGTAATGATTGTGTAGTATTTGCTGATACGGAGTATAGCTGCAGACTGTGGTAGGATGCTGTTAAGAATGTCCCCAGTGATTTTCTGTTTACTTTGGTCAACCAGATGAACAGCTTGATAGTTACTGTTGGAAAAAGACATCAGGGTGCAGCCTTATGGTGTGATTCTCAGCTCATCCTGCAGTCTCTTTGGACTCTGCTTATCATTGAAATTCCTCTCCATTCTCTCCTAATGTTGGGCATTATGTGTCTTGAGTATGCATGCAGTGGGGGAGGTTACTGAGTGGTCTTGAGCTACACTGCAGTGTTGTATCAGTAATGCACTCACAGTTTTTTGTCGAGGGAGGCTGACTCACTGGCTGCTGCTGTATTCTGATAGATCAGATTCTTCTAGACTGCTTGCTTGCAATTTTTTTTTCCAGTGTTTTAGTATGTCAAAAAGAGTTCTTTGACATGTAAGCAGTGAAAGCCCTCTGAGCTTCCCTAAGTAATGCTGAAAAGGATTAATTTTACTTTCTCATGTTCTAAAAAAAAATAATAAAAATCATCATCAAATTAGCCTGTTCAAATTATAAGTCTAAATCATCACCACAGCAGTGATTAGTGTATATTTGAATATTTTAATGTGTGGTTGTAGTTGCTACTGGTTTCATAAAATATAATGCAAATGGCTTAAATAGCAAAATTTTTATTGTCTTACACAAAGAAATGGAATTAGATCTTGTTGCGTTCCTTCTAACTCTGTTCCTGTGAAAATACAATTAAAAAAGAAAATGTCAAACCCCCCTAATTCAGTTTCTGTTCATCTTAATTTTAAAATGTCACACATAATTTAGATAAGTATGAGGTCAGTAAAAATGTTCATGCTTTACTCCTTAAATTAACCAGTAGCAAATGAACTAAATGGCATATATTTTGGTTAGCTATCCATGAAGGGTAGAGAAATCAGAAGAGTCAGAAAATAAAGTTTTTCCCATTTCTGACCCTTTACAATGCCCAGGTACAGTAGGCCTAGAGAAATTGTGCTGTGCTTTTAACCTGGGACTTCCACATGTCAAGTATTTGAGGGACATATCCTTTACTGCATTGAAAAGAATAAGCTGGCAGTGGCTGAGAGAAAGCATGCTGCACTGTCTCCAGGAATAATGAAGATATTATTTCATTGCTGATTTAACAGAACCTAAGAAAGTGTTGGCTTCCAGTGCTTTCCAGTAAATTCCATAGAAAGAATATTCAATTTTTTTTGTAGGGTTGTCTTGAATTTTGAATAATTTGTATTCCTATGTGTATATGTCATTGTATACCTGTTTCTTTACATATCACTTCAATAAAAGCATCCAGAATTAACTTGTAAATCGCTGCTTAGACACTAAGCACTTCAGCAGTGATTCTCTTGTAATTGTGTTTTTTTTCCCTTTCTTTTGAAATATCTCTACATTTAGGTTGCAAAAGATGTATCAGTGAGACTTCATCATGAGTTAGAGAATGTAGAAGAAAAGCGTACTGTAACAGAAGATGAAAATGAAAAATTAAGACAGCAGCTTATAGAAGTTGAAACTGCAAAACAGGCACTGCAGAATGAACTGGAAAAAATGAAAGAGGTTGGTATTGCTATTTATTTCTATGTAAAATATTTGAAGTTCTCAAATTCTTATTCCTGACTATTTTTCTTCCAACAGCTTGTTTGAAGAGCATGAAATATGACAGATAAAGTTGAAAGTAGCAAAGAGTGCTGAAATACATCTAGGTGACTGAGAAGTTAAGAGCAAATGAAAAGATTCAGTTGTTTCTAGGAGAAATATAAAGGAGATAGTGGCTTAGCTTTTCCTGTACTAGAAATGAAAGGTAGAACTGGTAGTAACGGAGTTCAGAAGCCTTGAGACCTTGTGCTTACCTTGTGCTTATGTTGGAATATGTACAGAAAGAATTCCTAATGTTTTTATGAAGAATAGTATTTTTCCTTTGCTAACTACTGTTAGGGACTAGCAGGCACACTGAGACAGGGCAACTCAGGCATGTTCTTCTGGAGTATTGGAGAGTGGAGGACTCTACCTAGACTTTCAGTCTTAGCATAATTTAATATTGTATCTAAGTCATCTTCAAAATTACTGTTTGTTATTATGCAAATGTAACTTGCAATCCCATTAAGTAAGCAGAAAATTGTTTTAAAACATAATAGCCTGGACACAGAGATAGTAAAGCAATTAAAAGAGAGTATGTTGACTAAGAGTGAATTCTTAGAATAGATTTTAGGAACAACTCTCATGTTCAGTGTTTAAAATTCAACGCATGACAATGATTTTCACATTCAGTAATACTCCCTAGCAGAAATGCCAATGTCTACTTTGTTCTTATATCAAATGGAAAGGATGTATTTCAGTTCTTAAAAAGCCAGGAGATTTTCAGTTGTATTCTTGCGAGCATCTAAGGTTTGGAGGATATTCCAGCCAAGTGTATATTTTCCATCAGTTACAGTACTTTAAAGAGTTGCAAATGCTTACTCTAAGTGTGGTAGCATTAAAAACATGCATATGTTTTCTTTACAGGAACTGAATTTCAAACATGTTAGTAGAGAATAAACAGGTGTGCTTTCACCATCTTCTGCTGTTTTCTAGATAACTGTAGATTTTAAAAGGGCACGGTGACATCTGAGCCTTATTTGGCTTCCTTGTCCTATGACTGAGATTTTCTGTCTTTGCTTTGGCCTCTGCCTTCAAATACCACTAAGTTTTTGAGACCATCTTCTTTATGTGAGCATGATCTTCCTGTAATTATGCTTACAACTTTTTGTTAAGCTTGACTTTTCTCCAAGTTTTCAGTTTTTCTTGTCTCAAAATCTACTTTCTTGTAGCTTTCCTCCTACCCTGTAATTGATTGTAACAAAGGTATTTTCTTTTTGTTTTCTTTTTTCTTTTGCTTTGCTTCTTCTTATGACCATAAGAAATCTGGATTACAGTAAAGTTTAGTTGCAGTTTATTATTTTGCTTTTTTTCGGAAGCTATGTACCTGCAGGAAATTAACCCAATAAATAGGCTTCTTCATCTTTGCCACCAGTGGTTTCTTTCTCCTTATCCTGGCTCTTCCCTACAGCCCACTAGGCGGAACTGTGGTTCTGCTGTTCTCATAGAATGATCGAATTGTAGAATGGCTTGGAAGGAACCTCAAGGATCATCAGGTTCCAACCCCTTTGTCACAGGCAGGGTTGCTCATGTTCCTCTTCTTTCTGTGGCTTAGGTTTCTATTGTTATTGATAGCAATGGAAAGATATTTGATACACCAGCAAGACAGAAAAATTGTGTTTAAGCCAGCAGCTCTTCTGCATGATGCTGTTTTCCTGCAGCTGGAACACATAAATGATTCCCTTTGACAAAGAATGGGAGCACTGAGCCAGAATGGAAAAATGCATCATGATTCTACATATCAGAGTAGAGGTGGAGTGGATAAAGGGTCAGAAATGCGTCCTTATACGGAGCTGGGAAGAATGGCCATCACCAATCATTATGTGTTTTAGCACAATTAGGCAGGAGTTTTCATTTTTGCATTTCACAGAGATTGTTGTGTGTCAGTTAGTAGGAGGAGGCTATTTCTCCGTCTAGGACTTTTAGCATAGGATAGGGGATGCTGGAAGGTGGTTGTGGTGATAAAAGTTGAAGAAAAGCGAGTTTGAAGCAAAGCCAAATTGTCATGCACTTTGCAAACTTGGAAAACCAATGAAACAATGCTGGTGAAGGATGCTAATGCTTACAAATTTGAAATTTAGAATCCGTAAAGAAACTATGAAATTGTTAATGTGAAATAACCATGAAAAAACCCAAAGCAAGCTAAAGTGAATTAGAATTTTTCTGTGAAAAATACTTTTTCTTATTCATCATTGAATGGAGGTTTCAGATGACAATGTAATTGTCAGATAGTTACAGTGTTAATCTTCTATTTGCTCCTGAGTTGTTTCCCCTGGTTTCGTGGTTTTACAACCCTTTCTCATGTGGGTTCACCCATTACAACCAATGGAACTTTCTGCTCAAGTAATTTCTGCTTAACATAAACAGGAATGAAGAGTCAAGACCTTTTGTCTGGATTCTACGATTAATTGAGCTTCAAATTAATGGCAGACTTAATCTCCAAAGTCAATGAACTTTCTTTATTTTACAGCACTGTAGCAGTGCTTAGAGTATGTATTTGCCATGGGAATTTTTTTCTCCTATGATGAAAAAATGTGAGATAGCAGAGAATGTTTAAGACTTGTTAAAATGCTGGAAGCAGAAGCAGCATTTTTTATCTGGTAGTCTCTAGAGCATGATGAGAGCCAAAGTTTTCTCTATATAGACTCAATATTGTTTTAATAAGTGTGTCATTGCAAACATGTATGAAAGATAAATGCTAGCAGGTATGTTTGTTTAGAGACAAAGTTATATTTATTTGCTGAACATTTGAGTAAATGTAGACTTGTATTTGTCCATTAGTCTGGAGATATATCTGCAATATCTGCAAAATGTTTATTGTTTTGAAGCTTTTAAAAAAGATACATTGCATTGTATGACAAATGGAAGTAGTTGTTGATGACAGAAGCTTGCAAATATCCAAGGTGTTGGAAGATGTTTCAGAAACTATTTTTATGTTGGTACTTCTGACTTGGAGTCCTCCAACCTGCAGCTATTTCATTCAGTACTGTTATTCTTGCATATATAATTTTTGAGATATAAGAATTTGCTAATGACTTGCATTCCTTTACTTATTCATTAATTTGTTTTTAGTTCTTACACTTATTTTAGATATGCATTAAGCAAAGGTAGTATTCAAACTGCAAACAATATTCCTTCTGACAAAATTTTAGTAATTCAAAATATGGATAGCATTTGTTGAAGCCTAATTAACTCTTGTAGAGCTTTTATTGAATAAATATGGGGGAAAGAATCATTCCTTTGCTGTAGCTATGTAGGAAATGCCCAGTTAACCATGCCTTAGACTGTATGTGGTGAGATAAATAAAACAGGTGGAGAGTATGACAGATTTACTGGGCCCTGGGCTTTACAAATACTCACTGCAATGCAGAAATGCAATGTTTCTCAGATATGTATGTCTTTATGAATAGATATAGATAGCTCTGCTATTGCTCTAAATGGGGCAGATGCAAGATAGTTCATTTCTTCAGCAAGATTACTGTGATGTTGGCAAGCTGGCACTTTCTTCTTGTAAGCTTAGGTTATTAGCTCAGAGAGCTTCATGGTTTAGCCAGAGACTTCTTGTGCCTATTCAATTCATAATGTAGGCAGAAGAGTTTGTCTTTCTGCATGTGTCTATGTTTTCTTGGAGTGCAGCCTGCCTGTCAGTCAGACTGTTCTGTACTTTGTGTGAAAATGGAAGAAGGCAACATGATCTAGGAAGCTCAGCACAGGACTTACAAGGAGAAATCTGAATTCTATCTCTGATATTGATACTAGCGTGCTGTGGGACTGCAGGAAAGTAATTATGTATTTCTGCTTACTCTTGTGAAGTTTGTTTGCTCTGTTTATGTAATCTGTGGTCACAACTTAGATCTCCATATATATCTGAGTGCTCTCAGATATCTGAGCAGAAATCAAGTGAATAACTAGAGAATTCACAAGAAAATCAACTAACAAAACACAAAAAAACCCACACATGCACACAAAAACAATATTGAGGTCTTTGAAAAGAACTGGCAAGGGATAATCTTGTCCCAATATCAGCCTCTATGTCTCTGATAAAAATCTCTTTCAAAGTCAACACATCGCACAAATCATGTGGCTTCTTATAGCTGTCTGAAAAAGGCTTCATCTATTTCCTCTTATTTATCAGATGTTCTGCAGAAGATGCCCAAAATAGTGTTACCCATACTTCTCTGTCCTCCGATTCTTACCTGTAGCTCACAACTTGCCCATCACTGATAACAAGGCTATGCATAATACATTTGAACTTTACATAGAGCAGAACCCTTCTTCATCACCTTCAGAGATTTGTGGCTGCACTCTGGGTGTGTGAGGTATCTTGTTATGTCTCCCATGTGATCCCAGCAAGGTCATATTTGAACATGAATTTCTAGCTTGTGTTTGTTTCCTATGCCATGTGCATATATGTTACTGGAGATAGACACTTGGTTGTATTGTTTTGACAGGGAAAGTTTGAGTTTCCTCTATCATGCTGTCCTCTAATAACTTCCTGCTTGTACCCCATGCTTCTGTTTCTGCCTTATCCTCATCTGGAACAGCTAGTAAGGGAGGGAGTAGGGATGAGGTAAAGAGCAAGAGAGGAGATGCCAGGATGCCTGTTAATGTAGCTGATCAGTTTCATAAGGTCAGTATGAGAAACTGGGACTCTTTGAAGAGTTGCAGTAATTTACTTACTTTTGGCATCATATTGCAGTAGGATGGGATTTAATAATTTTAATAAGCCCTGGCCTGTCGGAGGACCTGTATCAATGACTGTATCAATGACTGCACTTCAACTAGGAATACCTTTAGGCAAAATGCTTTTGAGATCTGGAATCTGTTGCTTTGTGAAAACTCAGGTTGCTTTGGTGAAAAACAACAGCGTGATGACAAGACTTCTTTTTAAAAAGATTAGAAACTGTCTGTGTTAGTATAGG